GCGCATCCTTTTCAAGCATATTTTTCCTCGCATAAGTTTTTCCTTTCAAGGCCAACGCACAAGTAAAAGAAATAGCATAAGAAATCTTGACAAACGAGTAACTGGCCGAACGATCAATGCTTTAATCGTTAACCGTCCACAACCACAACAATCGTCAGTCGAGCCGTTCGCACTACACTACAGACTCTTGTCCGAAGATTTATTAATCCTTCAGCGAAGAAATGCAGACGTGCGTGCAACCTTTTGTACCTTGACGATTTACATGCCATCATCATTACAAGTCTTCCTTGCATATACTCACTTCGCAATATACGGTGGTGTCTGGCTGAAGTGAAAAAACGGAAGCAAAGCCGTTCGCCCCCCCCCCCCCCCCCCCCCCAAGAGGATAAATCATTCCCGTCGCGTTAACAAATTACCCGAGTCTCTCTCGCTCGGTAATATCCTCCGCTGACAATGAGAGCGCGCCGAACGATCGTAAGACAAGTAGCCGCGAGCGGCGGAACGACGCGCAACCTGCGCGGAGATAAGTATCGCCACACCCGACATCGCAGGAGCCGATGCCGCATCGCGCTTCCGATTGTGCGACTCGTCGGCGGTGGTTCTCCGGCCTCTCTGCGCGCGACGACGCAGGCTCGTCAACCGATAGAAACAATGGGCGTTACGGCAGCGAATCGCTAAGTAAAGCGCCGTATTCCCGACTTCTGCGCGAGCCAAGCAAAAACGGAGCGAGGCAAAAAGATCGCGCGCGCCAGGCTCCCCGTTAATACGGTTACGCATTATCTAGATTGCTGGCCGGCGGCGGCGGCTCCCGACACAACGCCGCGTAATTAATCAGAGACAATCAAAGCTCGCTCGCGCTCTGGGAGCTGGCGCGCCGACCGACTCCCAACGCTTTCATCGTCTTCTTTCGCTGCTTCTGCTGCCGTTCTGCCGGCGCGCGCACGTGCTCCTTGTCTTCATTTTCATTCTTGCCGCGCTACACATGATGTACACCTCACCTCCCCCCTCTCTCAACCCCTGCGCGCGCGCACGATGTGCCTTTTGCTGCTGGTATGATCTGTCGAGTTTTACTTTTTTTCGGGTCGTTATCAGTGCAGTTTCTGTTGGTTTACATGGGCGAATTTGGTAAATGATTTTTTGGGCTTTTGGATTTACGCAATCGCGCAAACGATCTCAGTCGACGAAACGATATGCTTCGGTTTTTTTAAATATTTGGTGCGTATAATAAGGGTGGTAAATTATACGTGTACTTTCAAGTAAATTTGTCAACTTGCATTCTGACATCATCCCATTACTATAAACATAATTTTTATTTTGAACCTTAATTTAATAAGTAGCTGATAATAGCCAATAAGCGCGACGATATTTTTATTCAAATATATCGTACACTTTCCCAAACAGCAGATCCAGAAGAATGTAGTACACACTTGTAATCCCATATTTTTCACACCTTCCGCAAACAAAGCTCACTTACTCTTCCAATAAAAAAGAAAGTGGTATAGCCTTCCTCTCTCCCGGGCTTATTAAGTGACGAATCGCGCTCGTTAATTTCCGAGGCGTAAAGCCTAAATCGCGTGCCCCTACCAATTAACGAGAGCAGCACACGTACGTGCGCGCTTTATGCATGCCTGCCGCTGTAGCAAGCCCGCACATCTCTGCTGCCGCGCCGTGGTGCTGAAAGAAGCCGGGATTATTTATATGCGCGCACGACTTCACTTCCGCGATCTCTCTGATGCGCCTTTTTCTCTCGCTCTAAACCGTTTTTAATATGCGCACTCCGGCTATACGCCACCACTTCCACGCCTCCTTCTTGCAAGACCTATTGTGGAAAGGTTGAACTGCATTGAACCTGATGATATTTCGCGGGTTACCGATTATATGTATCGTCATAACTATACACAAAATTTCATTGATAATGACGCAAATATGACAAGTCAATCAAGTCTTATCTCTCGAGGCAACTTTTTTTTTCTTCAACCTCGGCAGGTATTGCAAATTAGCAGCTAAAAAAGTGCCCGAGGAAAAAAAAACCACGCACACCTTTTTAAATTATGTTTCGCAAGTAATCTACATGAGCACTACTATACTGCAGTGTATTTAGATACAAAATTAAGATACGCTCCTGCGGAAGGCCAAAGGATAAAAAAAAGAAGAAGCGTGATACAGCGAGTTTCTTTTTCACTAGTTTGAGTATACGTGAAATTTAATTGTTAGACAAGTCAATCATGAGCACGCATTAAAGAAATTAATCAAAGCTTAATGAAGTTACTGTGCAATTCAATCATTTTGTTAAGCTTCGAATGCTTTATGCTTATCAGTTGCGATCGGAATCAGAAAAGGTTGGAGTTCGAAAATTATTCTGAAGATTTTATGTGGAGGCAACGTGCGATCGAGAAGTTCTCCTTGAAAATTTTTCGACAGTAATTCAAAGCATAAATCGCTCGTGGCAAAAAAAAAAGGCAACTCAAATAGTACATATCCCAGACAATTATCGTCACAGGAGAATCGTATTTTTTTTTCATCTATGACAACCTCATGCAAAGCAGATAGAAAGTCTACGGCAGAACGCCTAGCCGGTAATTTAATTTCTATACAATCACCATGCCTAATGAACAACGAACGGCAGCGAGCACGTGTGCGATTTATAAAAGCCTACTTGAATGCCAAAAGCCGCTCGATCATCGGCGCTAAATACGGCAAGAAATTCCAAGCTAAAATAAATAAAAAAAGACACACCGTATAACCGTTTATAGCGAAACACAATCGCGACTTTTCACTTGTCTATGGGAGATGAGAAAAGATGTTGTCTTGCTAATTTAAATCGTGATGTAATGGATTTTTATGCGTAGGTAATCAGAACGTGAGTTGTCAAAAGTCTCTATTTACGGTGTGAAATTTAATGAGATATCGGGTTGACTAATGGAATTATAATCTATTCTATTGATTCTATATTGGAATTTCCATTCGTAGCGTTTGACAAATTATAGTATAGAAAGAAATATTCTGAGCATAAGCTTTCAGGCAATTTTTCATGTCCGAATAGAGCATCAGCGTCGAGGAACTTTAGCGAACCGTAACAGTTCCGGTGTAAAAATGCAAATACCTGCGCAGCTGCCTGCGACAACGACAACGACGACGACGGTGTCGTCGTCGTAAATTAGTAACAGACGAGGTGCAAATTGGCCAATTCATCCTTCTCTTTTCATCGTCGTCGCACGCGGTCAATTAACGCATTCGCACACAATGAGCAGTAATCGGTTGCGATTTAGGTTTTGCAACATATATGATGCGCGCTCCACTTGCCACATTCGTGAAAGTAGTTTTTAGCTCGCTCGTCGATCATCAATTACACGATCATATCCTCCGGCGAGAAGAGAGAGAAAGAGAGAGAAAAAATTCGTCTTACGCGATCATTCAAAAGTGACGTTCTTGAACTTTGAAAGGCGCACGTCTTCCTAAATGGATCCCAAAATGAGGATCATTAGGGAACTCGCGCGAAGAACGTGCGAGCAATCAATTTTCGTTGAGTAACGAAAATTTCGTGAGCGCGCACGTGTACACGAGACTTCTTTTGGAAAAAAGGACCGACAAAAACAAGGTTTTTCTCAATGAGTCATTTATGACCGAAACTTATAAAAATTATCATTGCGAAATTTATCTATTTCAGTCTGACTAAATCCGTCTATTACTACTTAGAATGTCGTTTTTTTTTACACGGACAATGTCCATGGGAGAGCAAGAACCTTAAAAGGCGCCGCCAATCTTGTTGAACAAGAACTGACTTGCGCTGGAGAGCGCAAAGTTATAGAAACGCTTTTTGAGGTTATTTTTGCTCACCTTACACGCTTGAATTCATCGATTTTTCATGCTATCATTAGCTCGTCCAAACACAGCCCCGTGCCTGTATATACTTTGATATTGAATTTTCATCGGAATGATACGAGAGTTTGAAGAGGTCGACTAGCCAATATATGATTTCATGCGGTTGAGTTCGAGAGAGCTGAGTAACAACGCGGAAATGAGTGCGTTAAGCCTGAGTAAATGAAACATCTTGGAATATATATCGACGGCTTATACGCTCGCCAAGCTCGCTGCGTTCGAATTATATTGCCGATTTAGCATTCCCTTTTCGTTTGATTTTTCTTCTTTCCGCTGCAGACCACTTGTAATTGGTTAGCGTTAATGTTTCAAAGTATCACGATGAGAGCGACGGTATTGCATAAGTGGGCGCGTGATAATACAATGAGACTAGAAAGTAAAATCGTCGTCGTTTACTCAAAATAGCCCGCATCATTCAAACTGTTACGCGTAGACAATCGGTATGCGCACTTCGCTGAAACAATAATATTTCACCTCTATTGTTCGCACGCGCGCGACGTGAAAAAAGAAAGACGGAAGTCTGCTCGCGGAAGGGGGAAAAAAGCTCGATGTGCGAAACCATATATGCAAAGGCAAGATGTGCAAATGTGAGTGCGCATTAAGGAGAGTCGCGCGTTGCTCTCGTGTGTATTCTCCAAGTTATAGTTGTGAGTCCTGTGATGCGTTCCAAGCCAACGGTTATCTTTGAATTTTCCCATTCTACCGCTGTCAAGTCCAAATTATTTTTCATGGATAATTTACTTATCACGTGTAAAGACTTTTCGCTTAATTAACGGTGTGCTACTTGCTATTGGTAAATTTGTTGCCTTATACAGGTGAAAAATTTATGTTTTTGCGATACTATAATAATTAAAACTTTGCTTGGAAATATTTGAGTACTTGCTTTCTACGATCAATATGCTAACCAAAAAAATTCATCTGTAAAAATTTATTCCTACCGTAATAACATAACGTTCATCAAATTTTTGTAGTCATTTAAGAACATTTAAATGCACATTGACAGCTGTTACGAGAAACATTTTGCCAAAGCCAAATATCATTGTATTATATTTTTCCCGTTCAAGGCATCGATAATAAAAAGTTAGCGTTGCAAATAAAGCGAGAAGAAAACGAGGACCGACCTGTAGAGACGCAGATCGATGGTGGAAGAGATTGGCTGATTGTAGTCCTCGCGCTGCCTGTCGTCGTGGTCATAGGTTGAGCGGCGGTGGCAGGTGAGCCTGGCTTACGTACAGCGGCCGCAGCGGCTATTATCGCCGCGGGACTGTAACGTGGCACCTGTAACACCACCGGCGTTTTCACCGATAAATCCACAGGCTCCAACTGCACCGGCGGCCCTGCCGCCTGAAATCAAAACAATGCAAAAGACATTAATTACGAGCACTTGACGGTAGATGCTGCGAGTTTACAGTTACTGATAAGTCTCATTGAAATTGGCTTGTGAATTGCGTATCATCAACCCCCTTAAACACGACTTGCCCAAACATTGCTACCTTGGAAAAATAACATATAATCACCTTGCTATAATTTATTTTCTTTATTTAGTACGATCAAACACGACATAAATCTGTACAATACAATCGATTCACTAAATCCCCAAAGCAACACATGGACTTGCTAACAGTGTTTGATTGAATCAGCCAATAAACAACATTAGGCTATACGTATATAAACACAATCGTCGCTGTTTAGCAGCTAATCACCATGAAATTTGTATAAAAGCGTAAATCAAATCTGCAGGCATCGAATCCGCAGCAGCAAGCAGAGACAATCGGCCAATAATAACAAGCCTCGTATAACTTGTGCGCGCACTCGGGCGTGTTGTGTGCAGCTCTTCTCTGCGCTCAGAACAAACACACAAATAAAATACAGATAAGCCACCCAAACAAACAACCCACGCGTACCTTTTGCGTCGCACCGTTAGTTCGCACTTTTTTTTTTTTTATGAGAGACTCATTTTCCGCTGCGGCTACCGGGGGACGCAAGTGGGCGAATCCTACCGACAACGAGCGATTGTTTCCCCGCGTGAGAGAGATTCGCGAATCTGCTTGTCATAAAGCAACACCTCGAGATACGTACATTTATTTGAATTTATTGTCGACGATACTTGCTTTATCTTATCGACTTAGGTATCTTGGGCCTACGGGGTTGTAAACAAAATTAACGTCGCTGTTGCGTTTCTTCTCATCGCTACTTCACTTCTCCCAGTGTTCAGGAAGTGTAGAGATTTACACGTGGGAAAACATCGAAAATCGTGTCGAATATCTGGAATGCTGGACGCCAGATGTCGTTTGTCATCATTTTTTTTCCCAGTAAACAAGTTTTATCGCTTTTGAAAGGTCGACGAAATGATTTTTAATTGCAAGTAAAGTTTACGTTCAATAAGATTAATAACTTTTTTTTATTAGTTAATTGGCTTCTATTTACAACAGCGATAATTTCGGCATTCGAAAAATAATTATAAATTAAAGTTAATATTAAGTCAAAAACACAACTCGTCATAAAAAAGCCAATTCTTCTTAAATAAAAGAACGTCTTAAAAATGAAAAGCTAGAAATACGTTTTTTTTTTCGCGCAATGAAGCAATTTGCTCAACCATCGTGGAGTAAAGTGAATCGTGTCAACATCAAAGAGGCCTCGCCGTCGTCGCGGAAAAGTGCTGACAGGGTGTGTATACGCTAGACTTCGCAGTGCCGTGTGCACAGCACCCACACACGCACACACACATGTAGATGTATATAGAAATAAAACGGACCGTCGGCGTGGTTAATGCGTAATAGGCCTATCTTCGTAATAACTCGCGGTTTGCGTTTTCTCTGCACTCCGCCGCCGATGATTTCCGCGCCGCTGTGAGGAAAAAAGAGCCGAGCATCTTCATTCGTTTCTATAAACCGAGAGGAAGAGTGACAAGTTGCACCGTTTCGAGTTATTTTTCTTGCAGACAAGAGAAAAAGGTAAATTATTTCATTTACCTCCTCTCGCCGTTAATTAGCGCAACAGCGCGGCAGCAGGCCGAGGCTTTTATTTTCTCTCAACAAAAGTCTCAGGTGAAACACGAAACCTGTGAAAGATACAGTCGCGAGAAAATAAGAGCAACAAAAGGACTCGCACGCGGGATAAAATGCAGCTGTAAAAAAATAAATACTTTTTTCTGGAGGAAGCAGTAACGGTTAAATAAGTAACCTTCTCTTTTTTCGTAATGAGGCGAGTTCGATTTACGTCATAAATATCGAGTTGTAATTGAGTCATCCTCTCTGTTATTTTTTTCATGCACCTGACGTAGCTTGTGCGCGACGGGACCAGGCATTTTAATTGGCTCGAAGTACATACAGTGACCCGCCGTAAAGTCCTGATTATTGTTGTTTAAATCTTTCCGCGAGAATGATTGATGAAATGATTTGTATTTGGTACAAGTTACCTGTTGGGTATTGCGTTAAGGAAAACATTTTCAGGGTGAGTGAGTTGGCGAATGGTCGGAGTTGTGTCATTGATATGCAAGAAATATCGGTCAGAGACAAAAGTTTACGCGTCACGTAGAATATTAAAGGCTGCAGATTTCATTTACCGTAGGCCACAGAAATACTTTTAGGATCACCCGATACGCGCACTCTATCGTTAGCATACGTGAGATCATATTTAAATAACGCGCATATTAAAAACGGAATTTCGCACATTTCCATGCTCGCATGAAAATTACAAACGATTACATTATAATCCAACACTTGAAAAATTAGCATCTTAAGCGACTTTCTCGCGAGCAGAAAAAATGCGCGATACAATAACATTAGCATTAATTTGGAGCTTCATAAATATCCGAAAATTAAGTGTTGGACGAGAGCAGTTGTTAACATCTTGCAAAGGATCGTAAAAATTTCGAACTGTCGAGTATGTACAACGTTATTATATATCGATGCTGAGTAGCTTCTGTGACTATAAAGAAGGGCAAAGCCCTCCAAAAATAAGCGTACGAGCATTTTATCGTTGAGACGTGATCAATACATTCAATCGGATCTTATACACGGTGGTGGTGCATACGCTGTCTCTTTTTTCGAGTAAAATGTGTAGTAGTTAGTTAGTTATAAGAAATCTTTAAATTTCGTAGCGATGAACTCCATTTTGAACGCTGTGCTGTTTATATTAAAAAATGGCAAACATTTGAAACTTAACGTTTGATAATTAAATTTATGATCAAGTAGTTTACACAAATTAACTCAAATCGAAAGCCAAGCCGATTTAACTATTTTGTGGCACTTTGAGTAATCACCGGCGACATCCATTAGGAAAAAAAAAAGATAAGAATCCAAAGCACATTTTATTTGTCAATTAAGAAATCTAGGCAACACGATATAAAAGGCGCGAAAATAGCACGTGACTACTAAATGGAAATCCCGTTAACAGAGGCGATTGCGCCAATAATTCAGTCGAAAGTTATATTAGTCCGGTTTTTTCAAATACCGCACACATAGCTGAATTGAGATGTCGCAGCTCTTGACTACGAAACGGGAAAAGCGCAAAGTGCTGGAGTTACGAGGCGTACGTGCTAAATGCAAAGTGTCCATGATAGGAAAAGAAAATGTTTTCAAGATACGTACGTGCCGCTGAAAAGTTGTCCCGATAAAATTCGATAAAATCATTACGAACAGGCTAATTCGTTGAATTTAACGGGGTTGTGCAATTTATCGGGATACCATGCAACTTTGTATATCTTTCCTAATGGAGTAATTTTCCGTGCGAGGTTTATTGATATGATGATGATTTATGCAATTCCAATTGGCAATCGTTATATTCGAAAGTAATAGTGAAATGTAGAAAGCGAACCACCAAATCTACTGGTATGATCTATGCTCATACAATATGTGCAGAATGCACATATTGTTTTCGAAAATGTCTATGAGTCGTACTTTTGTGATGCACTAGAAAATAGAAGTCTCAATTGTCCTTTACTTTGTGCTTCGGTTGGAGAGCCAATAATTTTTTTTGATCAATCGGAAACAGCAAGAATGAAAGCTTATAAAAATTTAGATACAAATCTAGATATAAATTGTCCCCACTAATTTTCATCCGTCATCGTAATACCAGCACTCCCATTTCAAAACTTCCAAGATACACGAACCCCTTTTGCAAAGCCGTAAGCCGACAAAAGCTATCAATCCACAGAAAGCTGCATGCTTCAGTGATGCATCAGACCGCAAGTAAAAAGAAAGATCCTGACAAATAATACTCTCTCGTTCGCCAACTCCCCTTGAAAGAGAATAATAAAGATAAAAGTGAAGGAGGTGCGCGCGCGCGCGAGGAGAAGAAAAGGACGCACCCACTCTCGAGAGATTATTAGCGCTGTGACTTATGTCGCGCTATTAGCGTAATTGTGCGAGCGCCGCGTAAAAATATCCTCTGTCTCCCTTGAGGCTTATCGGCGAAACATGCGAATAGCATTAAATACAAAAAAAAATCGTGGTGTCGAGTCTGTCAACGTCAGCGAGACTTCATATCCACACAGGAAGGCAGTGGACACGCCTCGCGTGTATCCGCCTCTATGACGTCAAGTCGCATAAGTGCAACAACCCCGCTTGAACGGTACAGCATCCTAAGAGAGTCGCCAATATTGATGTGCGCGTGCTCCGCTCTCCGCGCGATAATCACGCGCCGATTCGTCTTCGCGTTTCCTCTTACTCTTCAATTCTTCACTGATAGGCAAATTAAGTGCGAGGCGGTGGTCTTTAATACGACGAGCGTTCATCGGAACGACTAAAACGTGTTCGTTCAATTCTTTTCTAATGTTCGTATTTTCATTTTCGAGAAGTTTGTTAATCGATCTCGGTTGGTATAAAAAAAACATTTCAAGTAAAAAGCACCTCGCAGGAGACGCTTGCCGCGCGAATAAATTAGTAGCGCGCAAAACAAGAGTCCTTTCGATAAAACGAGCAAAAGCCGAGAGAGTAAAGTGCCTTTGTGCGACGGAAAATTGCCACGCGTTTCTTTGTCGCGCGCGTTATTTTCCCGTATTTAGAGAAACTGACTTAACGTGCAGCTCGCGTCGAGAAACTTTTGCTGATTGCTCGCGCGCGTGCGCGGCCATTAATAAGCCTCATTGCTCCTCGCGAGTGCTGCGATTACGGAAACAACTTCATTATTACTCTGATCGATCTAAGATGTTTTTTTCTTTTTCGGCGAAACACGATGCTTGAATTTCGAGCTCGAAGTAAAGTGTGAAATTTATCTGTTGGCTTTTGAAGCTACGATTAAGACTAATAACTTTCCATTTCGGTTCGTAGCATTTCGTGTTCAACGCGATATCTTCATTTGCATAACGCGCAGCTCGAACAATGTGCGTATGCATATCGAGA